GCATGTGATATACAAAGCTATTTTTATCGATGGCTACATTGTCGACAAGAAGGCATTCACTCCTAAATTATAGTTGATAAACTGAAGACATATTCAAGGCACTTGTTTGACAATCGAGTATATTCAATCCCCATAAGAACTAGTATAGATTGGTCAGTAATTTCGATTTTGGGAGACGAAAACGTCACAAAGGTCTGTTATCTCCGGCCCTTGGTTAGAAATTTCGCTAAACGTAATTTTTGAATAGAAGCAAAATCTGCTCTTATTTGAAAATATGTGAAATGGTGATCTTTTGAGGGTGTTAATTTCGTTGTGTTTCTTCTATTTTAGAGGACATATAAAAATCTCCATGAGAATTTTTCAATAATTACAAAGGTTTTCTTTCAGAGAACAACTTAGCCTTGATTGTGTGTCAGATATAATGACGATACGATAAGCACGATACTCTCAGCAGGTTCCTCTCTCGCTATAGAAAAGTGAAGCTTTTCCGAATTTAGAAAATGTTTCTTTCTTCTTTTCTGGTTTGATCAGGCTCCCCTTATATTCTAAAGATTTGTACCTATTTTGTTGGTTTATTTTTGCAGAAAGTGCCAAATCATTGCCTAACTTCGCGAAAGTTAGATCATGAGGCAACCTCGAAAGTTTCATCAGAAGAATTAAACACTAATGCAATCATGCAATGTCATTGTGACGGCGTTAGAGAGGAAATGGTTGCAAAATTTCGGGACACCTGCTCATAAACAAACTAGATATGGCTAATTTTTCTTCATCTCTTTTTGATTTAGTTTGAATTGAATTCCAGGCCCCCTTTTTCAAAGGTCTGTACTTATCAATTTTTGTCCAACAATTCAAACGAACGAACTGAATGGACTAAACGACAATAGCGTTTAATCTCAGGGGATTTTCAACCTCGTGAGTGCTCTATTATTATCTACAAGGAAAAATTGTCAGAATACGAGGCACTATACGCTATGACGGGGCTTTTTCATCATGAGGCAAAACTTAAAGAAATAAAACAGGAAACGTTCCAGATGATCTGAAACAGAGACACTTTACCTTATAATTACTTCACTCTTCACCTCAACGTTCCTTACCTGAAGTAAGACTTTAGAGTCAACGGAGGATTGTTTTTAGAATCGACAGGTGCTATTTTTAATTACCACTGTAAGCCTAGTGTATGGCCGATTTAAAAATATCTCATTAGGTGAATCATGCGATGCCTTTTTTTCTTTCTGTTAAATTTTCGGAAGTAACTCCAAGTCACCATTAGCAAATTTATTTTAAAGTATTTAGATTTCAACTTTCACCTTTATTTTCAGCCAATTTAAAGTTGTGGACTTTAAGCGAAGTTCTAGAGTTTGTTTTGTATTCTTCATCTATCCAGCTGCGACACGATATTTTTCAGACATTTGAATAAAGGGTAAGTTTCTAAAGAAACTGTGGTGCTGCGTCGGTGGGAGAGTATAGCAGGTAATTTAGTGTTGACAACTGGGTTGAAAACGTAAATTAGCCACCGTAAAGGGTAAAAAAGCTGACGTTTCGAGCGTTAGCCCTTCGTCAGAGCGATGTTTGATGCTACTCTGGTTTGCAGATTTAATGAATGTAACCGAAGAAGTTACAATTCATAGACCCAAGGTTTCGACACTCGTGTCTAGTGCCTTCATCAGGGGTGATCTAAACGCTGCAACAAGAGGTCCTTTTTTATGATCACTAATTAGCGGCCTTTTTTCTGACGAGGTGTAAATAGGCGTCAGGAAGCAAACCGCCATCGTCACGATTTAAAGGAGCGTGGGCGGAGTTAATATGCCAAGCCTCCAAACAAAGGCGCTGGTGGTAACGCCGATTAGTGGTGATAATTTTAGAATTATCCCACCCAATTGTATGGTTAGTTAGGCATGTATGCTCCGATAAGGCTGAATTTTCCTTTTTGCAAAGGAAACCACTTTTTGGTGCTCTTTTAACCGTGTACCAAACTGACGTTTGGTCTGTGCGATGTATTCATTGTCACCGTCATTGCAAGGAATAGAATAAATGGCGTCGGTTCGTTGTTCTTTCGTGACAGGATTCTTAGGTTTGGCGAGAATATGCCCCAAAGTCTGAAAAGGTTTTTGAGCAACTTTAACGTTGTGGTTATTCAAAATTCTCTCTTCCGTAACACCCTGTATGTAACGAATAACAGCAAAACTAGTCGCTGGTTCCTTTTCATCAAGAGCGTTACTATTTGTAACTGGTTTTTGGCAGTTACGGAGAAAAGTTTTTGTATAGCCATTTGCCTTTAGGACATTGGAAACATATTTCCTCTCCTCAGCCTTCGAATCGAGTGAAGATGGTAGACAGTCAGCCTTCCTAAGTAAAGTTTTGGCTACAGACTTTTTATGGCAAATAGGGTGGTGAGAATCGAAGGCGAGGTATTTGTCGGTGTGGGTAGGTTTACGATAGACACTAGTCTCTAAATTACCCTGGACCCCTCTGGACACATTTAAATCAAGAAAGGGCAAATGTCTATCCTTTTCACGCTCAAGGGTGAATTGGATCGACGGCTCTACTGAATTCAAATGCGACAAGAGGCGCTCCGCTTCATTTCCGGATACCGCAGAAATAACATCATCGACATATCATTTCCAGAAAAAGGGTTTAACCGGTCAAGAGGCTAAGGCCCGTTGTTCCACGTCTTCCATTACCATGTTAGCAATGACAGCAGAGACTGGCGAACCCAATTTTTTTCCGATGCGAAATGCCTTAGACCGCTCTTACAGAGATTGCCACTTGACATTCATGAGTAGTATAAGTATAGTATAATCTTTATTTAAGCACGAAACAATTCATCAGCAATTACATTAACTAAAACTATTTAAAAATTAAAACACTAACTAATAACTGAAAGCTGTTTTCCGTGAATGCCGTGCGTTATAGAGTGGCATTGATCTTGCGTTTAAATAACCCCAGAGACTCTGTGTTCCTTATATCACATGGAAGACTATTCCATAATGTGGCTCCACTATAGCTAAAGCTTTTTCGATAATAGTTAGTGCGAGGTAGAGGAACATTGAGTTTATTTTCAGAGTCCCTGAGGTCATAAGCAGAGTTACGCCATCTAAACTTAGAATTAAGATATTCAGGAGCTAGCCCGTGCACGAAGTTTCATGTAACATAGAATGTGTATCTTTGAGCTTTCAAACTTTTAACTTTGTATAAATCGTAACTGCTTACCGTATCTATTTCTCTGTACCTTAAGTCCTCAAAAGTTGAAGCAGGTGAGTCAATAACCTGACTTCCTTTGTTTGGAATTGTGTGATTATATAATTTTGCAGTGTAAGTAACCTTAGTGTAACATGTAATAATATTTTTGAGATTGCATTGAATACTCTTGCTCAAATTGCACGGAACCTGTGCTAGGATTCATTAGCAGAAGCTCCTTGTTTAAATCAAATACCTGTCATTATGATTTGCTATAACAATATCAGTATTTACTCGTGTCCCTTTTCCAACAAACCAAGACTATCACTTAAGGATCTCAATGGGGTGATGGCTTTTTAAAGCTTTTTTAAACGCTAATGAACTGCGATACCGGTGCAGCGCTTTATTTTCACTACTGCTCAAGTAGCGACATTACTGCGAGGATCACTTTCATTCACGTCTTTATCCGCAGTTCAGAGATACGACTTTCATATATTCTTCACCGTTTATTCGTCACTTCACGGGTTTACTTAGAACCAACATAATAATCAGCTCCCAGTTGGCTTGTTAGCTCAGTTTGTGGAGCGCTGCAATGGTATCGCAGAGGTCATGGGTTCGAGTCCCGTACAGGCTTGAATTTTCTTTGTCTTTTTCCGGCCTTATTTTCATTACTGCTCGAGTAATGTACATTACTGCGACGATCACTTTCATTCACAAAGCTTTTTTAAGTCGTTAAAGCGATTCTAGGTTTGAATTTGCCGATTTTTTCTCCTAACAGCTACATTTTCTTACCGTTTTATGGCGAATGGTTAACCTCTATTTGAGACCCTCCTAGTATGCAAACCTACAGGCTGAAGTAATGACTGTAAATATATCAAAATCATATATTTGAACTGCGGACAGAAACGTGAATATGAAAGCGATCTTGGGATTTGAACTCATGACCCCTGCGATACGGATGCAGTGCCCTTCCAACTGAGCTAAGAATGTGTGATTTTCATATGTTCACAGTCATTTCTTCATCACCTTACAAATCGGCTTGTTAACTAAGTTGGTAGAGCATTGCACCGGTACCGGTCTTAAATTTTTTCAGGCGTTATTTTCACTATTGCTCGAGCAGTGTTTATTAACGCGAGGATCGCTTTCACATTCACGTCTTTATCCGCAGTTCACATAGATCATTTCTCCAATAATATTCACAGTCATTTATTCATCACTTCACGGGTTTATTTGGAACTAACTTAGTGATCAGCTCCCAGTTGGCTTGTTATCGCAGAGGTCATGGATTCAAATCCCGTTAAGGCCTGAATTTTTTCCAGGCCTTATTTTAACTGCTGCTTAAGTAGTGTTCATTACTACGAAGGTCGCTTTCATATTCTGAAGCAAATTTGAGATCAACGAATGTTGTAGAATTTAGCAAAGTCACGATCAGTTTTTGGTGCTGCTGTCTGGCTTTTCACTTCTAAGCATCAGTCTACGATATGAAAATTGTCTTTCTAAGCCATTTGCTCACGAAAGCTGTATCAAAACACGTGTTTTACGCTAGAGAGCCTTGACACTATCGGTTCAAATGCCCCACCCTCCAAACCAAGGCAAAATTCCCCACTTCCCGGGCACGGACGACGGTAAAATGCCCGTGGGTTGCTCGAGGGGGGGGGGGGGGACGGGGGGAAAAGAAGGGATGGGGGAGGGGATGTTAAAGCTTCCACTTGATCGGTGCATTAACATTAACATTGTGAAATCGGGCTGCCTGTAGATGAACCAGTCACGCATTTCACAGGTTTAGGTAGGAAACTGACCAAGTAAACAGCTTTTATTTCACCTTCCACACAGTCATTGAACTTAAATGACTCCGTGGCAATCTATCTAAGAAAAATACTTAGGAAATCAGTCATCTTAATTCTGGTCTCCTTTAACAGAAAAAAGATTTAAAAAAACAAAAGCATAATAGGTGAAAAACGAAGAGTCCTCGGCGGGACATGTACAAATTAAAGACTCTGAAATTCTTTTGCGGTCGTCCACTTTTATACGCTTTGTTTCCTGCCATCAGAACACCAATTGTTGATAACACAGCAACGACACAGTCGTAACTTGAATTATATTTCACGAGAAAAATTCTATAATGTTGACTTCAACTAATTCTCTGCTATAACACCGGCATGGAGGTTACTTTCTGTTCTGAAACCGCAAAACTCCTTTCACTGCAAGCGAGAAGAACATTAAGGTCATACAAAAGATACTTAATTAAAATCAAGGACAAAACCATTAATTAAACATTAAAAAAAAAGCATTTAACAACAATTTAAAAGCTCGTAAGATCGACACTGGATGATAATTAACGACTTCCCCTTACATAGGTTTTTCGTTTGTTCAGTTTATAAGCCATACAATAATCAACTTAACAACCTCGACCGTTCGGTCGTTACGAGAAAATCTCAAACCTCGGCCTAGTCGTATTGACCGAGCAGTGCCTCAGTTTGAGATTTTCCCGTAACGACCTCACTCTCGATTATTAAGTAGTTAGTAATCACATTATTTTCTCGCGCAATTTGGGATATATAAGCGCATGTAAATTTTTCAGAGATTACAAATTTGTTTAGTCTTCGAAAAAGTTACACGGAGAATTTGGCGGGCTAAAATGTAACCAGCTGACAAAAACCAGTGGAAAGTGAGAAGCACACAATCGTAGGATGAAAGCGGCCAAATGAAATCGATAACCAATTACTATGTTCGCGCCATTTTCTTGTAACGTTGGTAAAAAAAATCAAAGCAAATTTGTGACATTACAAAACATAAAACGAACACAGCTTGACATCTTACATAGAGGACAGCTCAGCCGTACCAAAACGTACTTGTTGGAAATTCTTAGTCGGCCAATTACGCCCACAAACTCTATCGTTTTATTTAATTCGATAACAGAGACCAGAAACGCGTCTTCCATCTGGAAATGGCGAAAGTCAGTGATGCCATGTTGAAAAATTTCCCTGATTTTTCCTCGAAGAAATTCCCCACCCCCGCATACTTTCCTAACCTGTGTTAACTAAAATAATTGAAATATTTGCAATGGAACCTACCTTATGTGAAGAGTTGGTGCCACCCACTTTAACGAGGAAGGTTTGGCTGGATGAGTGAATGAACAGTTTGGCCTGGTGCAGTTGGCACCAAAACGACAAGCCTACAAGACAGTCAACAATGAAATCTTATTGAAATCAAATTTGTGGTCACTGTACAGATACCTTCCCAAGCATTAGAAACCAATTAGTAACTAAACTTACAACATTTATATTATACAGCGCAGCGCATGTAATCAAACCAGACCATGCACAGGCTGGGAGAAACGAAATCCTTCACTCACATAAACGATATAGCTTTAAATTTACATCTAGCACTTTTTCACTCTGCTGCCGTCTTCAATAAATTCTCTCTATATATAAGTTGAAAACGCCACGCTAACGAAATCTAGCATGTACGTGTAGTTCGTCTACATGTACTCCTATAACCTCTAACCAAGCCAAAGAGCTTAGTGTTCTCCCTTACTAAAGCCCAACAAGTAAAAGAAATTTTCAGACTAGTAGAGCATTTCTTTTACCTGTTGAATTTTCAAGAATATCATGCGATTTTTAGCCCCCAATGTAGGCGTCTTCTTATGACGAGTTAACGTTAAAGAAGCACGCGATCGTTTATTCAAGCGGCCATGTTGGATGATTTGGAGTTAGAGTCGACGGTGAGAAAGGGGGCGGGGCAAGACGACTACTCTCTCTCCCACCCCCATCCCTTTCCTTATTTTCTACTGTCGCTCACCCCCTTGGTACAAATTTCTTTCTCTCCTCTGCCTTGGTATTAAAATCGAAGATTGCGATCATAGTTTTCGCTAAGAAAAAACTGAGCACTCGCTAAGCGATTTTAGGCGGTAATACGAGGTAATACAGGCGGTTTATTTTCACATTTACCGCCTTAAAAGGAAAACACACTAAATTACCAACAGAAATAGTCCGAGCTTGAAATTTAACGGACTCCATAGCCGTGTAAACATCGTTAATAAAGTTGTAGGTTCGTGGTTCAGTACCTGACATTTCACTAGCTAAATCTGTTGGAATCCGAATCTATCATCTTAATTCTGACCTCTTACGATTTTTCAAATTTAAGTGGCGGGTGCGATTTTATTACACACTTTGTAATGTTCAAGAATTAACACTTCGACTCCCAAGAGTGACCAAGACAGAATTCCTCATTATAATATCACTACAATATCAAGCAGACAAGTGATGAGAATGAAAACAAAATGTCAATTCAGGGATTACTGGTTGATTCAATACCAGAATCTCAGAACTAACATCTTGAGAATTGTGCGGGAGACAGTAAGGAGAATTACCACTAGGATCTTGAAAGGGAAAGGATTCAAGAAGTGAGTAACCAACAAATATGCTTTTATTACAATGGAAATTATTTCTTTGGAATCAGAGTGCAAGGTTAAATGTTCAAGTAAGCGTCATGAAATATACCTTTGGTTGTGGATGATAGAAAGTACAGTCAGCTTTGGTACAAGACGGGTAAAACTTGCAAGGAACCGGTTGAGTAACAGGAGGTGGAGGAGTGAGGACACTTGGTGGAGGGAACATGAAGCCTGACAACATTAAGAGACACAACAGTGTTAGACCACCACGAAAATGATCTGTGGTGAAACAAATCATACGTGAATATTTGAATTGTTTTGAAGCCCTTCACTAAGTTGACGATATAAGAGAGTGCAGCTCTCGAGCGTGCCTTCGTGTTTCGATCTGATGAAGGGCTTACGCTAAAAACGTCACTATCAGAAACTCTTTACGGCGGCCAATTAACATTACCAATTCAGTCGATAAAACCAAATAATCTTTTCGCCAATAGTCTAACTACAGTTTTCCACCAAAAGTTTTTAATGAAGCAAATAGTACTGATGTAACTGGACACCATACCTAAACCCATTCCTGGTATTGCAGCTGCTACGGGAGAAGTCTGTTGTTTGTTTTTTAACTTGTGTGTGTAGGAACAAACTGAATTAGTACACCTACAAAAGAAAAAACGAGAACCATGTAAATAGAAATATTTGGTAGATTGTAGTTGTTTCTACAGCTGAAGCTTAAAACTATAAAATATAAAAACTATAAAAAATTTTCGGTTCCCTTTTAAGTGATGTACTTACCTGTACTTACCGGTCATAGTCACAATTCTCACAGGCTATCCAAAGGCATGACTCAAATCATAAAGACATTTGAATGTTTTGCGCGTATAATGATTCAAGAAGGAAACCTACGTGTACATTTCAACATAAAACACAAGTACACCCTGAGAAACTGTCAC